AACTGTTCATACCTACCAACAGTCTGTTGCCTTAATGGCAGACTATAACTGTTCATACCTACCAACAGTCTGTTGTCTTAATGGCAGACTATAACTGTTCATACCTACCAACAGTCTGTTGCCTTAATGGCAGACTACAACTGTTCATACCTACCAACAGTCTGTTGTCTTAATGGCAGACTATAACTGTTCATATTTACCAACAGTCTGTTGCCTTAATGGCAGACAAACACCCTCCACCTGCACAAGAACATTTAAAAACAAGAGGCCCAGGGGCCTTAATAGCTCACCTGGTATTTTATTTTTCAATTTAAAACCTGCTGAGTACCATTCAGGTTTATCAAAGGAGTACAAGTAACAAAGTTGCATCTTCCATTTATAAATATTCAATTCCCTTTGCCCAAAGATTCTCTAAAACAAGTTTGGTTAGGTTAAAATCCCTTCAACGGTACAGAAGGAGAAGGATCTTTAATGTTTTCCTCTATTTCCCCTAATGGGCCCCACTAATCTGCCCCAAAGAAGGGGAATCCACACACCTCAGTTTAAACAAAATTGATTCTTTTCTCCCTAAGCATGCTTCAGACTGCATTTGGTTTAAATCCCTTCACTTGTATAGTAGGAGAAAAAAAATCCTCTATTTCCCCTATTGGGCCCCGCTCCTATGCCGCCAGAAGGCCCACACCCTCCGTTTATACAAACTTGAGTCTCCTTTGTCCAAAGATGCTCTAGGACAAATTTGGTCAAAATCCTTCAATTGGTTGAGGAGAAGATTTTTAAAGATTTACCTATTTTCCCCTATTTGGCCCCGTCCCTCTGCCCCCAGGGGGACCATACCCTCCGTTCATACAAAACTGAGAACCCTTTGGCCAATGATGCTCCAGACCAAATTTGGTCAAAATCCCTTCATCGGTACAAAAGGAGAAGGATATTTGATGTTTTCCTCTATTTCCCCTAATGGGCCCCACCCATCTGCCCTTAGAAGGAGGCCCACACACCTCAGTTTATACAAAATTGATTCTTTTGTCCCTAATCATGCTTCAGACTGCATTTGGTTAAAATCCCTTCACTTGTATAGCAGGAGAAAAAAAATCCTCTATTTCCCCTATTGGGCCCCGCCCCTCCGCCCCCAGAGGGGCCACACCCTCCGTTTATACAAACTTGAGTCTTCTTTGTCCAAAGATGCTCTAGGACAAATTTGGTCAAAATCCTTCAATTGGTTGAGAAGAAGAACATTTTTAAAGATTTACCTTTTTTCCCCTTATTTAGCCCCGCCCCTCTGCCCCGAGGGGGGGCTATACCGTCCGTTTATACAAAACTGAGAACCCTTTGGCCAATGATGCTCCTGACCAAGCTTCAGACTGCATTTGGTTTAAATCCCTTCACTTGTATAGTAGGAGAGAAAAAATCCTCTACTTCCCCTATTTGGCCCCGCCCCTCTGCCCCCAAAGAGGCCACACCCTCCGTTTATACAAACTTGAGTCTCCTTTGTCCAAAGATGCTCTAGGACAAATTTGGTCAAAATCCTTCTATTGGTTGAGAAGAAGAAGATTTTTAAAGATTTACCTATTTTTCCCCTATTTGGCCCCGCCCCTCTGCCCCCAGGGGGGTTATACCCTCCGTTTATACAAAACTGAGAACCCTTTGGCCAATGATGCTCCTGACCAAATTTGGTCAAAATCCTCTGAGCCATTCAGGACAAGTAGCATTTTAAAGGAAAAAGTTGCCGGACGCCGGACGCTGCACCATGGGATAAGCTCACCTGGCCCGAACAAGGGGCACAACTCAATCAATAGGGGAGGTAACTAATATTTATACACTTTATTCACATCCACTTCATGTAAGGTTTTGTGCACCAGAGCATCACTCAAAACAGACAATGCAGTATTTTTGGAGGAGTAGTTTGAACTATATTGTGTCTCGTAACAGACTTGCTGATTCCAGTATACTCCTCCCCCATCCACTTTGTTGCATAGGGTATAATAAATAATAAATGAATAAATATAAAATGATGGAAGTTCCTGTGGTTTGATTGAGAAATAAGCAGTGATCTTGTACTTTATGAAAACGCTTGGTATATGTTTAGTAAAATAATTTTCCTGTTCTCTTATATGTACTGGAATTTAAAGCATGTTTGTTCCTATCAACTAATATTCCACATGCATATATCATCCCAGTTTGTTGGGTCACACAGGCACCAGAAGCTGGTGATATGTAGCGTTACCATGGTAACAGAAGGGGGTTTCCCTGCCTTACCGTGACTTCAGTTTTGGGCTAGGTAGTGTAACCATGGTAACAATTTGTAGGAAAGTACTGTAACCATGGCTACAGTACCACAGGAACAAACAACGCCTAGAAAATCATGCATGTCCTTGATCTACATGTCCAATAACTTGTCGTTTAAGATAGACATTTTATGAAGTGACCGGTGTAGCATTCCACAGGGAACACGCTGTTAGACATGAAGTAAATGGAACAGTCATTGGGAACACTGGAAGTCACACACACTCCAAGTACGCAGACAAACATCACAGGAAAACTGCATCTCAAAACCAAATATCCAACTGTGAGAACTTCTATGAAGTAAAATAATAACGTGACAAATTCAAAATAGATAGATCATTCCCATTCCATATACAAGTGAACATAGACAAAAAATGAAACAAATAATACATAGATTAGTAAAACAAAAACAGAACAAATTAAAATAACCTTCATTCCAAAGGTAGTGATAAGAGATGGGAGTAACAGAACTTCCCAGAGAGTCAACAACAGTATCAAGGCCAGTGACAAGCATGCGGAGAAGATGGAGTACCTGGCCCTCGTGACAAGTGGCCCTCGTGACAGGGTATCAGGGGAGAGTGGACACCACACTCTTATGGTGTTTCATTTTTAACACCAACAGCACACTGTTGATTAAACTGCCACCAGCTTTGCTCATTTCCCCGAAGCTGATTTCATGATGTGGGACCTGGTCAAGCTTATCTTGTATCTCCTGGCAAAGTGACCCGTGCAGAAAGTAGAAACACATGTGCATTCAATAAATTAATAGGACTGCAGGAGTTACTGCCCCTGATGAACAAGTCTGACAGAACTGAGATATATTTCCCTTGTTGTTACTGTAGGTGTTCAGCCTGATAAGAAATTTTCTCTGAATCACATCATCAAATAACGATCATCTCTTTCTAACCCATACAATTAAATTGTAATGGAAAAGAAATGATTAAGTATGAAGTACAGATCTGAATTTTCCCTTCCTTGCATCAATCTTTTAGGAACATAATCAGGACAACATTGGTCTGTAACAACCCCATAAAGTCGTTATAATTATAATTTGTCCCATTTCCACAGTGTACCACCAACCAAAGCCCTCCTATAATTATAAGCAGTTAGAAAACAGATTAAAAGTAAAAAGTAAAAGTCACACAAATTGTTCAGTGTAGGATACTAAGTACAAACATGACCAACTCAAGTGCTTACAAACATTGTCATTGGTGTAAAGATGTAGGTGCAATACAACACTGCTTGGTTGTGTAACAGTGTCAGTGCGGTACAACATGACTGCTGGCCTGGCTGTCTAGTAAAAATTGTGTCAGTGCACCTGAGTGCATTACAACATGGCTGCTAGTTTGACAGTGTAATTGTGTCAGTAATTTACAACATGGCTGCTGGTTTGACAGTGTAATTGTGTCAGTGCATTACAATATGGCTGCCGGTTTGACAGTGTAATCGGGTCAGTAATTTACAACATGGCTGCTGGTTTGACAGTGTAATTGTGTCAGTAATTTACAACATGGCTGCTGGTTTGGCTCTATAATGATGTAAGTGCATCTGAGTACTGTTCAACATGGCTGCTGGCTTAGCTGTGTAATGATGTTGGTATGTACAAAGTGTAAAAATATCAAACACATTTGCTACAAATACCGGGATGTACATGTACTGGTGACATCACTTCAGTCAATTTTTCACAGTATTATTATTTTCACACAAAGGAGAATCTACTGAAAATGTGCACATGTTTGACTTTTGACCTAGAGTTGAAGTTCACCTTGATGGGATGACCTCATACATTGTTATAGGGCACACATCCTGTGAGTGACACATGTATACATCATCATATTTTAGCTGATTCAAAAGTAACCACCTGTACAAGATGTTATTTTAAAAACCAGAAGAACCTGTACTAATGTCTTTTTAAAAAAGGGAGACATAATTGAACATAAGTTTGACAGCCTTGTTTCTATTTATCATGTTCCACATTGGTTGGATCAGACTGATATCCGACTCATAGGAAGACATAAACTTGTCAGGTTTGTGCATTAATCAAAATAATAAATCAAACTTATCGATGATGTTGAACTTTACAATCAGCAGTAGTCGACTGAACATATTCCAAGATATGTTTGAAAACAAATATTTTTTTATCAATTCAATATTAAATGAAAATAGAAATGATGAGCAACAACACCACTGAATCCGTTACAAAATGTAATGTTAGATTTACATCCTAAGTGCCGACAAAAAAAGAAAAAGAAAAAAAAAGGATCCCTACCGCCACTATGGAACCGACTTCCTTGCAGGGACGTTTGGTATCCACCACCCCCCCCCCCCGTTGTTACTTATTAAATATTAAGTCTACTAAATCACCATTTGTATACAAGTCACCTTTATATTTTAAGTCACCATTTGTATTTTAAGTCGACAGTTGTATAATTATCAAGTCAATATTTTGTTCAGTAAGTAATCAGCTGTGTTTTAGCTGTGGTACACTGTGTACATTGATTGTATATAGTATGGACCACAGTGTACAGGTTTAACTAAGTATACTCACACTGTAGCACTTCTCCCCTATTTCCGTGCGTGTGCGGTGTATCAGGCGCCCATTAACATACAACATGTTGGCTGCACGGTCGTTGTCCAGCTTCAGAATCTTGTAACTGTAGTGGGCTGTAGTACGGATTTGCTGTTAACAGAGTACATTTATGTAACAGGGGATGTCATTCTATTCATGTCCATTCACAACAAAATTGATAAGTTAAATATTACGACAGATATTTAAAATAATCCATGGTAAATATATCTGTGTAAGTATTTATCTGTATTGACCTGTACAGCTCTATTAACTTATTCGGTTTATTGAAAGCTTTACTGCATATACATGTAAAGCTTTATAAACACTTAAGACTAAGTTGTCAAATATCTGTATTTACTTTTTACCGACACTAACCTGTAGGACTGACTTTGTATAGTTAACCTGTAGGACTGACTTTGTACAACAGCTAACCTGTAGGAATGACTTTGTACAACAGCTAACCTGTAGGACTGACTTTGTACAGCTAACCTGTAGGACTGACTTACTACAACAACTTACCTGTAGGACTGACTTTGTACAACAGCTAACCTGTAGGACTGACTTTGTACGACAGCTAACCTGTAGGAATGACTTTGTACAACAGCTAACCTGTAGGACTGACTTTGTGCAGCTAACCTGTAGGACTGACTTACTACAACAACTTACCTGTAGGACTGACTTTGTACAGCTAACCTGTAGGACTGACTTTGTACAGCTAACCTGAAGGACTGACTTTGTACAGCTAACCTGTAGGACTGACTTTGTATAGTTAACCTGTGGGACTGACTTTGTACAACAGCTAACCTGTAGGACTGTCTTTGTACAACAGCTAACCTGTAGGACTGACTTTGTACAACAGCTAACATGTAGGACTGACTTTGTACAACAGCTAACCTGAAGGACTGACTTTGTCCAGGTAACCTGTAGGACTGACTTTGTATAGTTAACCTGTAGGACTGACTTACTACAACAACTTACCTGTAGGACTGACTTTGTAAAACAGCGAACCTGTAGGACTGACTTACTACAACAACTTACCTGTAGGACTGACTTTGTACAGCTAACCTGTAGGACTGACTTTGTACAACAGTTAACCTGTATGACTGACTTTGTACAACAGCTAACCTATAGGACTGACTTTGTACAGCTAACCTGTAGGACTGACTTTGTATAGTTAACCTGTAGGACTGACTTTGTACAACAGTTAACCTGTATGACTGACTTTGTACAACAGCTAACCTATAGGACTGACTTTGTACAGCTAACCTGTAGGACTGACTTTGTACAACAGCTAACCTGTAGGACTGACTTTAAGCTTTGTACAGCTAACCTGTAGGACTGACTTTGTACAGGTAACCTGTAGGACTGACTTTGTACAGGTAACCTGTAGGACTGACTTTGTACAGCTAACCTGTAGGACTTACATTGAGTACATTGAGGGCCGTGGGACTGCTACCACACGCAATGATGTCCCTCCCTGCCATACACACTAGGGACTTGAGGCGAACATCGCCCCTCATCTTGATGGGTGTGACGTGGTACTCTGGGAACACGTTGGCCACAGCATTAGCTCCTCTCTCATTACTCCTCTCGTCAGGGCCCACGCCCACGAAGATCTCCTTACCTGTGGAAACAGCAGGGTTACTTCCAATGTTAACAACTACACTTGTTATTTTTGTTTAATTATATCATGTTATCATTAATGAGTTTAACAAAATCAAACATTATATATGCAACAAATACAATATAAATGCACAAATATATAAATCACAAGAATATACAGTTATGTGAACAAGAAAAGTGTATAAACCGTATCTATAATTCAATAAGATTCCACAATTCCACAAAGTCTTGTCATACTAATGTAATAATGCATCAACAGTTGATGATAGAAAACAGTATATAATTATACATCCTGTTTAAACAGGAATCTGCTATCCTGTTTATACAGGAATCTGCTATCCTGTTTATACAGAAATCTGCTATCCTGTTTATACAGGAATCTGCTATCCTGTTTACACAGGAACCTGCTATCCTGTTTATACAGGAATCTGCTATCCTGTTTACGCAGGAATCTGCTATCCTGTTTATACAGGAATCCGCTATCCTGTTTACACAGGAATCTGCTATCCTATTTATACAGGAATCTGCTATCCTGTTTAAACATGACGTATAATTCACTGACAGAGGCATAGGACATTACAAGAAATGATTACAACCAGTAAACACCTTAGCTGAGCTGTGTATAATAAATTAATAAGGAATCTGCTATCCTGTTTATACAGAAATCTGCTGTCCTGTTTATACAGGAATCTGCTATCCTGTTTATACAGAAATCTGCTGTCCTGTTTATACAGGAATCTGCTATCCTGTTTATACAGAAATCTGCTGTCCTGTTTATACAGGAATCTGCTATCCTGTTTATACAGAAATCTGCTGTCCTGTTTATACAGGAATCTGCTATCCTGTTTCCACAGGAATCTGCTATCCTGTTTATACAGGAGTCTGCTATCCTGTTTACACAGGAATCTGCTATGCTGTTTATACAGGAATCTGCTATCCTGTTTATACAGAAATCTGCTAACCTGTTTATACAGGAATCTGCTATCCTGTTTCCACAGGAATCTGCTATCCTGTTTATACAGGAGTCTGCTATCCTGTTTACACAGGAATCTGCTATCCTGATTATACAGGAATCTGCTATCCTGTTTACACAGGAACCTGCTATCCTGTTTATACAGGAATCTGCTATCCTGCTTACACAGGAATCTGCTATCCTGTTTATACACGAATCTGCTATCCTGTTTACACAGGAATCTGGTATCCTGGTTACACAGGAATCTGCTATCCTGTTTAAACAGGAATCTGATATCCTGTTTAAACAGGAATCTGCTATCCTGATTACACAGGAATCTGCTATCCTGTTTACACAGGAATCTGCTATCCTCTTTATACAGGAATCTGCTATCCTGTTTACACAGGAACCTGCTATCCTGTTTATACAGGAATCTGCTATCCTGTTTCCACAGGAATCTGCTATCCTGTTTATACAGGAGTCTGCTATCCTGTTTACACAGGAATCTGCTACCCTGTTTATACAGGGATCTGCTATCCTGTTTACACAGGAATCTGCTTTCCTGTTTACACAGGAATCTGCTATCCTGTTTATACAGGAATCTGCTATCCTGTTTAAACAGGAATCTGCTATCCTGTTAAAACAGGAATCTGCTATCCTGTTTACACAGGAATTTGCTATCCTGTTTAAACAGGAATCTGCTATCCTGTTTATACAGGAATCTGCTATCCTGTTTAAACAGGACGTATAATTCACTGACAGAGGCATAGGACATTACAAGAAATGATTACAACCAGTAAACACCTTAGCTGAGCTGTGTATAATAAATTAATATCTCAATTTGTATACTGGTGGTCAACAAACTGGTGATGTTTTAACTGTGATTCCCCAGCAGTAGTATCAGTGAATACTACAAACATCACACAGATACACATACAACATGTAACGCCTTCGATCATTACTAGATTTCCCTAAGGTTGACACCCCAAAATTGATTAAACAAATTAATAAGTGGTCACTTCGCTAACACCTACATTAAAACACACTCATTACTACATACACTTGCTAGACAAAAGACCTTGGTGATCCATGGATACCTAATAAAACCCAACAATGGGATAGCTGATGATCCACTATATACAGGCCTCTGAGGACAAGCCCCACAACTACACATCATCAACAAAATGGTTTGTGATGTAGCTGATAATGATCATCAATGAACATGTAGCGGCCTGGGTAAATACTGTATCAAGGAAACAAGTGGACACCAACAGCCTTACTTTATAGTAACTCAGAAGTCCACTGAAGCAGCGTCCAGCTAGTAACAGTTATACCTCACAGTTGCTGTGAATTACTGAAGCAGTGTCCAGCTAGTAACAGTTATACCTTACAGTTGCTGTGAATTACTGAAGCAGTGTCCAGCTAGTAACAGTTATACCTTACAGTTGCTGTGAATTACTGAAGCAGTGTCCAGCTAGTAACAGTTATACCTTACAGTTGCTGTGA